TATAAATTTCCCTTAACTTTTATTTCATGGCAGGGAGTATGAACACAAGATAAGTAATGGTTTTTTTTTGTCAACATCATTTGATTTGTAGATAAACATCCATTTTTGCCATTCAGGCTTGCAACACGTTTCAAAAAATACTGGGACAGTACAGCATTTACCACTTTGTACTGTTCCCACGTCTTTTAACAACACTCAAAACACATTTAGGGACTGAAGTAATCAATTTACTAAGTGTTTCAGGCGTTAGTTTGTCCCATTCTTCCTGCAAACAATGTTTTAGGTGCGCAACAGTTCGGGGTCTTCGTTGACGCATTTGGCATTTCAAAATGCGCCAAACATTCTCTATAGGAGACAAATCAGGGCTGCAGGCAGGCCAGTCAAGCACCCGCACCCTTTTCTTACGCAGCCATGCCTTTGTTATGGCTGCAGTATGCGGTTTGGCATTGTCTTGCTGAAAAATACATGTGCGTCCCTGGAAGAGGTTTCGCCTTGAAGGCAGCATTTGCCTCTCCAAAATCTCGATGTACTTCTCAGCATCGATGGTGCCATCGCAGAAGTGCAAGTTACCCTTGCCGAACGCACTGATACAACCCCATACCATGACAGACCCGGGCTTTTGGACTTGTAGCTGGTAACAGTCCGGATGGTCCTTTTCTTCTTTGGTCCGCAGCACACGCCGTCCATTTTTTCCAAAAAAGACGTGAAAAACCGATTCGTCTGACCACAGTACGCGTTTCCACTGTGCGATGGACCATCCCTGATGTCTCCGAGCCCAGAGAACTCGACGGCGCTTCTGAACACTATTTATGTAGGGTTTCCTTTTCGCATAGTACAGGTTTAGCTGGCATTTCCTGATGTAACTACGTACTGTGGTGCTTGAGAGTGATTTCCTGAAGTAGTCCTGAGCCCATACAGTTATGTCACTTATTGACGAATGACGGTTTTTAATGCAGTGCCATCTGAGGGCTCGGATATCACGGCCATTCAGTTTAGGCTTGCGTCCTCGGCCTTTGCGCACGGTAATTCCTCTGGACTCCCTGAATCTTTTGACTATGTTATGTATGGTAGAGGAAGAAATACCCAAATCTCTTCCTATCTTTCTTTGAGGAACGTTTTTCTTAAGCAGTTCAACGATTTTTGCCCTCACTTTTTGGGAAACTGGCGATCCTCTTGCCATCTTTGCTCCAAAAGGACCAGGCCTTTCCTCGAAGCTGCTTTTGTACCAAATCATGATTGCAATCACCTGTTGACATCACCTGTTTCAAATCACATCATTATTTAGTAAGAATACATCATTACTACCCATAAACTGCCCCCGTCCCAGTATTTTTTTAAACGTGTTGCAAGCCTGAATGGCAAAAATGGATGTTTATTTACAAATCAAATGATGTTGACAAAAAAAAAAAACATTACTTATCTTGTGTTCATACTCCCTGCCATGAAATAAAAGTTAAGGGAAATTTATAAATTACTGTGTGTGCCTTTTATTCACATTTTTCACATCATCCCAGCATTTTCTTGGTTGGGGTTGTAAAATATCAATCAAAGACATTACTGACAGTCATTTAAACAGGATTTATTTATCAAAACACTAAATAGCTTATTGAAACGCAAAAATACAAACTAAAGTGACTGTGGTTATCTCTATTAGTGCAACAGTTTTGAACAAAAAATATCAAACTGCAATGTGTATAACCTGAATTAACAATATGTAATAAATGGATGAATTAAGTAATGTGTGCAATTTACAAGCAATTGTAACTGACAAAAATAAAATACAGTTATGGATGAAGGTACAGGTTAACTTCACTGTCACAAGACAAGTTTGCATAACACAGGTTGACTGTAAGTGATGGAGATAAGGTGCAAAAAGTCTAGGAGCCGTTATTCATCATCAGTCTTCGTGTGTAACACAGTTTACATGTTGCAGACTCACAGTTTTAGGGAGAGGCTGTTCTGAAGTCTGTTCATGTTCTGCAGAACCAAATTAAAACACAAGGTTAGTATACGTTTTACACTGTGGTTTTACAGTTTTACGTTAGCAAACATGCTAACTTCAACTACAATAACATTACTAGTTACTCACATACATGACATTTGCCAAATGTGGATGTATGCAGTTAGCTTCTAAGACTAATTTAACAGTTGGTTATAAAGTTTACCTTGAATTGTGAAAGCTAACCCGTGTAAGCAGCATCTTTGCACGGCTCAGCCAGGAGCATATTGCAGGTTGCCAATGCAGGTGCGTGTACTTAGTGTCCTCGAGGACACAGGTCAGATTCACCCCTCACTCCTCCCCAGCTCCACCCTCTCATCCAAATATGGTTTCTTCTGGCTCCAAAAAAACAAGATGGTGACGTCCATTAAGCCAGAGACAGTAGAGAAATGGAGACACTTCATTTCCGATTATTCCCTGTATCTGTGTCACATGGGTTTCTCCACCTCCCCGCCCCTTTAGGATTGTATTAATTCCAATGGGCGAAGTGAACGCGATCACAGATTGTGACAGATTATTTCGCTCCATAGTTACCGAAATAAATATTGGACCCATTTTCCACAAGCCACACGTCTTCAGAACATTCTGACATCAGAATGACTTTTTTCAGATGAACAGATCAGGAGAAAATTTACTTTATTCGAGACCTGCCTCTGTCTCAGTGCCATACTCTCGCGAAATCTGTCAACTGCCGACATCATTTGCCAACCGATAACCAGTTTAGATGGACCAGAGTTATTTTTGGATTGACTTACGTGAAACCATGGATTAAACTTTAAAACTTAAATAAAACTTGTTTCATTGCTTAACAGTTGCTAAAATAGATTATTAGCCTATGAAACTGACATGACTTTTTACTGGGCTGATCAGAGGTAGTTAGTAGATAAAAACAGCGGCAAAAAAGGCACAAATTTGTACTGTATCCGTGTTGTATCATGTATTGTTGTATTCTTTTGACAGGAACAATTAGTCCATAAATTAGTGTTAAAAATGCCTGAGCTTTGTGCAGCAACAGGCTGTAATAACAAGAAAAACGGATCTGTCTTTTCTTTCCCAAAGGATGCAGAGAAGTAAGTCTAGACAGGGATAGATTTTAATATTAGCTACTGTCACATTTCATGCCAGTTGCCTTTGCTTGATGGAGGGGTTGGGGGACAGCGCCCACTTAGGAGACTGGAACTGTGTCCCATTTCATACCATTGGCGCCGCCTATAATGCGGTATCTCTGTATAGAGGATCTTTGATTAAGGTAAACTCAAGGCTTCAAAGGTAGTTTGCCACTTGGTGGAACCTGATTGGGCTGCAGGTACCACCTCATGCTACCAGTAGTGACAAGGACACTAGCAAAACACAAAACTAGAGTAGAATCAGTCAGGAAGGAGAGACCAATTGTCTGTGGCCACCACATGCAAAATTCCCATTTTGGGGGTTGTCTTGCTTTTGCCTCTCCATTGCACCTGTCACTTTCATTTGCACCAAAGCAGGTGAAATTGGTTCACAATCACCTGTGCTTCCTAAATTGAAGTTGTTGTAAGGATCAGTTCTGGCTGCTAAATGCGTTGCCTCGGTTGTGGAGGACGCCATCGAAGGTCTTGGCTGGAGATTTCCCCGAGGTGGCAGCTCTCGGGGCCCAGGGCGAGGAGGGCCTTGAAATCTTCTAGGAATAAGGCAGGCCTGGTTGGTTCCTTGGTAAGTATGGGCGGAGCTTGTGGAGCTACCGTCCCCTGAACACCCATTTGGGAACCCACTGCTTGTGTAATGGATTTTGAGCCAGTGGTGCCCTGGTGGGATTACTACAGCTTGCATCTTTCTTGTCTTTGTAAATATTCACCCAGCTACATCTTATAGAGCTGTAGCTGAATGGCTTTAGAGTTGTTCTTAGCCTCAGCTTCCTTCCCCCTATGCTGTTCCACATGATGTATCACATGTTCTTGATACATAGGACATGAGGGAGCATTCAACCCTGCAACTAATTCTGACGACTTCTGTACTGGCAGTGGTCTTAACTATCATGCGAAACAGTCTTTGAGTAGGTTGATATTTGTCCCATGACTTTGTGACTCTGGTATTGTTGCTCCACTCTCTGTAATTCATCTGGTTTGGCCTGGCATGCCTCCATGGGTTCATGCTTTTCACTGGTAGGGGGTACTCTTGGAGATGCAGAGGCATGAGAGCATCAGCTCTAGAGGTAACTCTTGGACATGATGGTTTGGCGACTGAGCAGGAGGGAGGGCTATGGGGTTCAGGCAATTCCCCCTCCAAGTTTACTAGTGGCTGTCTAGTCTCTGTCCTTTTGGCCTAGCGAGACACACCCACAATTCTGTCTTGCCATTTTTTAATGATATTTGCAAGGAGGGAGGCATCCCCTCTCCTGCATCTTTTGCAATGGTGTTTTCTTTTCAGTCATTTTAGTCACACAGTCTTGCAGTGCTCTGGCCACCCCAACTCACTCCGAGACCCACTCTGGCCCTCCCATTTCTCTCTTAAACAAGGCCAGGTCAAAGTTGTCTATCTTCAACACTTTGGGTACCTGTCCTTAAATGTTATCCTCATGTGGAATTAACCGATCTACGTATCTTTTTTCTATAGTTACAATAGCAACAATCCTGGAGTCATAGAAGAACTTCTTTCTAATGTCTCTTTCTTCCTGTGCAATGTCTTCAGTATCATGGACAACAGAGAGGATGTTGTTTAGAGGAATAGCCAACTAACTCTTATGCAGCTACCCATCTCAGCAGTGGTTGATCCAGCAGTGTGACAGTTCAGTGCTCTCCAAATGTTAAACCATTTAGTTAGTTGCCAAAGCTTCACATTTATCAACTTGGGCAACTGAGCTTTCAATTCTCCATATATGGCTTTAAAAACATTCTCCTTTCCAGAAATGTGTGTGCACTCCACGATTCTCTTCATATTCTTCTTGCCAGTCCATACAGCTTAATTTCTACCATCCACCACAATTTTTTGGTTTGTGGTTTAATTTACTGTGTCCATGTCTCCGCAGGTGTAAAGGTGATTGTGGAGTCTCTCCCTCGCTCAGAGTCCTCCCTGCTGTCTGTTAAACTGGGTTGTTTGGTCCTGAGAGACTTGACCACTCAGGGCACCATCTTCCCTGTCCTGGTGTCTCCCAAAATGGTAAGGTAGTGAACAGAGGTGGGCAGCAGGTTCATTATGTGAACAAAAGTTTGAGAAAGTGAATTGGAGATCCTCCTTATTTTCTAATGTGTGCTGTAGCACGTAATAATTTTAATCTCTTGTAGGACAAAGTTGTTGTTACCACTAATCAGCCATCTGGCCATCCCAGCAGTACTTTTGGTAAGACTTATGTTTTTTGCTTTTAAGAATTGATTTAAGAGTATTTTCTCAGTTTAACAAAATTAAATAACACTTTGAATGATCTTGTAACCTCATGACTACTTTTTGTCAGTACTAATATTATTTTCTATATGTCTTTATATAATTGTGTATAAATAAACTTTCAAGTTTATCAATATTTCTGGACTGCCAAATGGCATTTCTAACAATGTCAGCAAGTTCACTCAACATGAAACTGTTTCTTCATTTATGTGTGTGTGGTTTCTGACTTTTCTTGTCTATAGATATTTTTAAAAATACTCAGGATTATTTTTGACTCTTTTTCATCACTACTTAAACCTTACTGTAGTGTAACTTGGCCTCTGCCCTGTTTAAGTACAGTCCAGAACCCCTGCAGAGCAGACACTCCACACTTAACGTATATCAGCCTCAGGTTTTACCTGCTCAGGTTTTAATATTTGTGGTTCATGAGTAGTGTAGTCAACTTCAGTACATTCAGCATCAGAGCTGAGAGAACTGGAACAGCAAGCAGAAACCATGGTGAAAAAACAAAAGGGGAATTGTACTGCTCTGCCCTCCTTTCCCATCACCCTTATCTCTTTCCACTGTGATTGATTCAGTTTGAAGTAATTTTAAGACAAGAAAATGTTCCAATGTTTCTAAAGGTTTTGAGCTTGCTATGCTCCTGTATTGCTCTGTGTGTAATGACACAGCAAAAAGGCTGATGATTTGACTAAAATGAGGATTTAATTGTGGACTGGTGATTCAAATCATCATCATGTAGGGAGCAGTCCTAATCATTAACATTTTCATATTGTATGGTGTAATGACAATACCTGCCTCTGGGGTCACTAATAGGGCTTTTTGCTCATATTCCTCTTTACAAAATGCCAGTTCAATATCTCTGTAGAGTAAAGATGTAACAAGAATCAGATTGTGGTGGCAGTATGAATAGCAGGGCACCATACTCCCACCATCATTGACCAAAAAGTTAGTCTCGTAATAGATACATTTTTTGTTTGTTTTTGTTTTGTCAGGATGCAGTGCAGAGTGCTCATCATCACCAGTGTTTGAGATGATTTATGAGCGCAACCCTGCAAGGTGTAAGTTTGAGAGAAGACTGGAAGTGAGCACGAGTCCACTGAACATTGTCTACAACCCACAAGCGATCAAAAAAGTTGCTGAATTCTTCTATAAAGGAAGAGTTCACACCTCAGGCAAGTACTGAAACTTGCTTTTATGCTGTAAGTGTACATACATGTTATTATATACGAGTTAAAAAATCAATTCAAACAATTAACAAAAGGAATCAGTGAACAACACTGCAGACACAATGATAGTCCTCTAACTTAGATTATTGTATTTAAAAAATGTCTTTGATCTGCAGGTTTTGGCTATCAGTCAGAGCTGGAGCTGAGAGTGGCAGAGGCTGCCAGGAGGCAGTACAACAAGCTGAAGATGCAGACTAAGGCAGAGATTCGACAAACCATTGATCAGCTACTCGTGGGAGAGTTTATTGTAAGAGAGATTCCCTGGATGGTGACTTGTAATAATTGTTTGTTTGATCATTTCTAAATACAGCTGATGTGTTTGCTTTATAGGAAAACAGTAAGCGTTGGACCATGAAACTGGACATCTGTGCACCCCAGGTGATTTTTCCAGATGACTTCCAGTCAGGGGACCCGATGCTAGTTGTTGTTGATCTAGGCAGGATTCTCCTTACAAACTCCCAAGGTAAAACAATCAGCCATTTTTGAAATAAAAGGACATACCCAAATATTATTATTATATTATAATAATATTATTATTTAATGTGGTTTCTAAGTCAGCTCATCAGTATTCATTTTCTTTGAAGATGACAACAAGGCCAGCCCTTCAATGCAGCCTGAAAAGGATGACATGAGTGACGATGAGTACCAAACACCCCTTGCCACCCCGCCAGAGTCTCCACCACCTGAAATGCACGTGCCTTTGAAAGCACAACATAAAAGCCCTGAACTTCCCAGCCTCATATCTCCCGAAATTACACAGGCCTACAGCAGAAAGCTTTACGAAAAATACTCTTTGTCCTTTAAGGACCTGCAGATAATGGTTGGTCGCTATAAGGACAACTGGAAACATCTTCAAGAGAGTGAGGTAGGCCCCACTCATGTGGTGGAGAAGTTTAATGTGCTGTTGCAGCTTGAGCAGAGACTGCGTTATACATCAGACCCCCAGCTCCCTGGGGCCGTGCTGTCAGGAGCTCTACCAGACCTCAAAGTCCATATCAACCTTGAGAAGATGACTGCCCTTAGGAGTTGCCTGGCTAGGCTAACCAGCCCAGCTGTGAGTGAAGGAGACAAAAGTCAAGAGAGAGGCCCCAATATAAGGTCTCCTGACCCTCTTACCCTTCGCCATGACAAGATATTTCAGAGGGAGGACAGCTCCTGGAAGCTGCAAGGTTCAGCCAAGAACCTGACACAGAGTGTGATGACTTTAGAACAGCACACACGAGAAGTCTTGGTAGAATCCCGTCTACTATTAGCTGAGTTCAACATTAATTACATGCAGCTTGGTGTAGAGAGTGATGGCCGCTACATATCTGTTCTCAAGGTATTTGGCACCAATGCTCATTTTGTCAAGCGGCCTTATGATGCTGAAGTATCTCTGACTGTCCATGGTCTTCTGCTGGTGGACACATTACAGACTTATGGCTCAGACTTCGACCTTCTTGTGGCTTCTCATAAGCATCTCAGTTTTGACATACCCACGGGCAGCCTCCGAGAGAGCCAGCCTTCGTCCCCTGTATCATCCCCTGATGGCAGATCTCCTGAACATCAGGGCCACCATAGTGAGTCAACCTCTGGTATGCCTGTGGATAGAGTCTCCCCCTTCAGTTCCCTTTTCAAAGACCAGGAGGCCCTAATTAAGCTTGAGTACCAGTTTGTGAGCTCAGACTGCCCTTCCATGAACCTTGACAGCTCTCTCCAGGTGACAAGCATGCAAGTCAACAATCTGGACATCATTCTCAACCCTGAGACCATGGTGGAGCTACTCAAATTCCTCCAGAAGTCTTTCCCCAAAGAAGAAAGCACGTGGACATCATCAGCGCAACAAAATAATGCACAACCTTACTGTGAGCTAGAGGAGGGAACGTATCAAGCCACTTATGACCAGAACAAAGAGCTGACTGTAGAGATCCACCGCCTTAACCTGCTTCTTCTTCGGACTGTGTCCACTGGCACTGTCCTGGCTGCTGAGAAGAAAGGGCTGAAGATTGCCACTGCAAGCATCACTGGCACCAAGGTAAATGTGTCTATGGGCAGTCGTTTGGACATCAGTGGTTCACTTGGGTCCATGCAGTTGGTGGACCTGACCCAGGAAGGAGGCCGAAGCCAGTTTGTGGTCAGCATTGGCAGTGTTGAGGACAACTCCTCAACCCTTGGCGGACTAACATTCCTTGCTGACACAGGAGATTCTCCCTCAGAAGCTTTAAATTTTCACCTTATGGAAAAAACACAAGGAGACTGTTCCTTGCAGCTTCAAATGGCATCCTTGCACTATAATCACTCAGCTAAGTTCTTGAAGGAGCTGAGTCTGTCTGCTAATGAGGTAGAAGACAATTTCCGCTCCATGTTGAAAACTGCTGCAACCAAAGTGTCAACAGTTCTAGCCACCAAGACAGCAGAGTACAGTGGTATGGTGTCACTGTTCGAGACTCCCTCACGGAGAACTCGAACTCAGAGTCAGAGCTGGGCTTATCCATTTGAAGATGAGGAGGATGTTCCCATGGAGGAACCTGAATCCACCTTGGACACATTCTTGGTGAAGCTCACCCTTAATATCAGCGTTGAATCACCAGTTGTGTCCATTCCCCGTAAGCCTGGACACCCTGAGCTGTTGGTTGGTCATCTGGGAAGTATAACAATCCAGAATTTTGTGACTGGGCAAGACTCAGATGGAGAGAGGTTGCAGGTGTTTGTCAAGGATATTCGGCTGTATTCACTCAATATGAGTCATCTGGTTTTGAAGAGGCCAGCCAGACGGGATAGTGCTGGTACCATGTCACCATCTCACAATGGGAGCATCAGTCGTGATGAACCACAGTTCACACGTCATGACTTTTTTGAATCCCTCAGCCGGGGAACAGGTGAGAATTAGTTTCAAATGTTACAAATGTTAAGAATAGTTGTATTCTGAATGGTACATAGTGTGTAGTAATGAAAATAATTCAAACATGCAATTTATATGCAGCTTGTAATACAATGTTACAATTTCTTTATCAGCCTTCCATATATTGAAAGACACCACTATAAAGTTCACCCTGGAGAAAATTCCCGTTGACGAAGACACCTCTCAGTTTACCTTCCTTACCACAGAGGAGCCCTGCAGGAGCACAGGGTTGCTAAAAATTGAGGGCAAATTCGTCACCCCAGTTCAGGTACTGTTCAAGTATACAAGACTAAATATCTAAGTATATACATAGTCTATATATATATATAAGTTTAGATGATGATTGTGTCTCAAACACAATGCCAACTTGAGAGAGAGATGACTCCCCAATAAAGGCCTTGTAACAAATAGAGAGAGGTCGTTAGCTTTACTGTAATACCTCACAAAGTCAATTCAGTAAACTGCAGCGCTAATTCCATCACCACAACAGTAATCTCATACTCTGTTGCTCTCAGTTATTCTTTTTAATGGAAATACTGTCCTCATTCACTCATTTCTCACTCAGTTCTTTCCATCACAGTTAAGCTATTGTCAATGAAGGTCAACACTTGTTGCAAATGTTTTACACATTCTGCCAAGAAAGAGATTATTTCCCCTGAGCTACTGGAAGGTTTTTAATATGATCTATGCAGAAACTGTTGCGTTTCATTTACATTAACTGCAATTATTTAGTGAGTGAAAACAATATCTCTGTTGAAAGGAAATATGCAGAGCTACACATTGAGTATGATGCAATAATGCCATGACAGGAATTAATCAAGACAATGTGTAAACATGGAGGAAGTGTTGAGTTTACATCAACAGCAAAACGGGGCTTCCTCCTACAATATACTGGGTAAAGTTAGGAGTAAAGACCTGTCTGTAATATAAATCTGGTTCTCACTGTAGTTAAAATAAAGACCTCAGAGGCTGAGAATTAAAAGTATGTACAGTTGATTACAATGCAAGTCAAATGAGATTTAGATGTACAGTAGTTGCCTTTGACTTTGACTGACAGCGCCCTTATTTTGCTGTACTTTGTTACAAGTGTTAGGGTAGGACAAATTATAACTTTATCATTCTTATTAGAGAATGGAGTTTGGTAATCTAATAATGCAGCATATCTCCACCCACAGTCGATATGAGCAGAAGTCTAATCAGCTAGAATAAATGAAAACATCTGTGTGGGTGTGCAGAGCCGTTACATAACAATTTTACAATGTTACTAAGTGTTTATTAATGGTTTCAATATGTGATTCTCTGGTGATAGGTATTCCTGTGCAAGTCTGTATATGAGCAAGTCCTGCAGACACTGGACAATTTGTCCCTCATTGAGGAGCAACGTGTCACACCCAGCCAACCGCCCACACCCCCACCACCAACTCCTTCCTCCACAAGACCTCATCGCTTTCCTGATCCCCAGGGAGGGCTATTTGCAAGGGACCCTCCCTATATTAGCTTCTCCCACTCATCGTTTTCCTCTCCTATGCCTCTCCAGTCTCACAAACCTGCTCTTCAGTCTCCCACATTCACTCAGCTGAAAATGACCTTACATGTGGCAGAATTGCAGGTCCAGCTAAGTGCTGACCTGACCCAGGGCTCCCAGGGCTTAGTCAGTCTGCGCTTCCAAGATCTTGAGGGGGACTTTACCAGAGACCACCCTCACTTACTGGCAGTCCAACTGGCACTGCGCTCGCTGCTAATGGAAGACCTCCTGGAACAGAACCCTAAGTCTAAGTACAAACATTTGATGGTGTCTCGTGGAGCTCCCAAGCCCTCCACCTTTAGTCCAAAGGAATACCTTTCTCAAAGCTGTCCATCAGCATCCAATGCCCTGTACCCAGATATGCCTCGCTCACTGCCTGCTCACATGGAAGAGGCCCAGAACGTCTTCAAGCTCTACCAGAGGCATCCCAGCACTCCTTCAGCTAGCAGTCGCAAATCCAAGAGGGACCCGGACTGTCCCAGCACTCCACCCCCCTCTCCTACCCACCATACACCCTCCCCTCAGCCACCTCCAAACTTTGATGATTCATTAGTTCATATTAATGTGCAGCTGGTGGACCAGAACCACCCAGAGTTCAAAACACGCTATGGAAGTGTGGGACGAAGTGTGGATATTGACTTCAACTGCCTGGACGTTTTGATTACACTGCAGACGTGGGTGGTCATCCTAGACTTCTTTGGTATTGGCTCCACAGCCAATAATCATGCTGTGAAGGTCCCTTCATCACTGCAATCAGGACACCCTTTGCATGAGCCAGATGTCAATGAGGAGGAGACAACAGAGGCCGTCAACACCAAAGTGGACTTAAAGGTAGGTCAATGGACCTGGTGCATCTAGTTAGGCTGGGCTTTCCAAATAAGTCTAGTTGGTAGGCTGTAGTTCATGTATGTGTAATGTAATGTTCATGTAGATTACATATACGCAGTATGTATATACTGTATGAAAAATGATATGCTATGTGTTCTTTATATTTGTTAGCTACACTAGCTGCATTGCCTTGCAGGTATGGCAGTGTCAGTCTGTGGGGTCTGTCCATCCATTACATAACTGTATCTGTTATCAAATGGATTCAATTTTTTTGAGACATTTATGGTCCCCAGAGGATGAATGCTACTGAGTTTAGTGATGCTCAGACTTTTCCTCCAGCACAACAGAAGGTTGACAGTTTGGTTTTTGAGTGAAATATCTCAATACAACAGTTATTCATATAGAGACATACAACCAGTCTCACACTTACAGTACATTCACACCTATGGGCACTTTTAGAGGTGCCATTCAACCTATTGGACTGTGGGAGGAAGCTGGAGTACCCGGAGAGAACCCAGGCACCTTCTCAAAGTGAGGCAACAGCCCTAACCACTGTCCACCGTGCTGCCCCTAATAATAAATAGTGAACATAGTTCCCATTATATGACTGTAACTTTATAATTGAAATGAAATGAAACAGTAGCTTTGTGTTATTGGAAAATAATTTGTATACCACACCGTTTTAAAAAGATTGTTTGGATTTGGATTTCAGCCCACTCTTGAGATGGAATGATGTGCTATCCTGCACTTTAACAGGGACACCATGGTATAAATTGTATCTCTGAAAATGTTCTAATTTTTCTCTCTCTGTCAGTCTAAGTGAAACTTTAAGAGTCAGTTCTGAAGTGAATGCTTCATGACTAAACTTGTCTGTGTTTTCATTTTTAGGTTCATTCTTTGTCTCTTGTACTGAACAAGAAACTCAATGAGCTTGCCAGAGCTAGTGTGTCCAAATTATCTGCTCATCTTGAAATGTTAGGTGTGTATGAAAAACTTCATAAATTCACCTTGCTTAGATAAAACAAACCCTCCACACAACATAATTTTCTTTTAGGTTCTTGAAGATAATCTGATATTTTATGTTCACATAAAACTTTATGCCTAATATTTCAGAAGGAAACCTGGAGTTACAAGGTAGTTTAGGAAGTTTGTCCCTGAGTGACTTGACGCCACATGGTGATCTCTACCGTGAGCGTTTCACCACACGAGGAGGAGAGGCCCTTATTTTCAACATCCATAAGTATATATCACAGAAGATTCAACAGACAATTACTCTGCACCATACTAAAGAACTTGGAAGAATTGGTCTTTTTTTAGTTACCTTTGTGTTGTGGTCTGTTCAGGTACGGCCAGCCTGATCCCTACCTGGAGCGGGAATGTGATATCAAGGTGTTTCTGCAAATGGCGTCAGTGCAGTATGTTCACACCCAGCGCTTCCAGGCGGAGGTGGTGGCTTTCATCCAACATTTCACCCAGCTACAGGATGTCCTGGGCAGGCAGAGAGCTGCAATGGAGGGCCAAGCTGTGAGTACCGGTGCTGGGGGTCTTTATCATGATAGGCACATAAGCAAGATAACCTCACTCCAGTTTGCCCCTGGATAATTTCAGTAGAACTGAAAATGACAGTGCTAGATTCAACTAAAATGCAGACAGGTCTTACATGTATTACACAGTTATATTTTTGATGTAAAAAAAATTCTCAGCTGATGCCTACTCAATTTATTGTCTAAGTTAAGTTTTCTCCTACTCTTTCCTCTACTCTGTCTATCAATTTCACTTTCTTTATCTAACCTTCTGTCTCTCTGTGCAGGTGAGGTATCATCCTCAGCGGGCATCCAGGGTTTTGCTGGATATTGAGGCTGGGGCCCCAGTTATTCTCATACCAGAGAGCTCACGGTCACCAAGGGTCATTGTGGCCAACCTCGGCCAGTTGAGGGTGCAGAACTGCTTCCTACCTGCTGGGGCTCATGGAACCTTTTCACTCAGAGACAAGGTAGAGAAACTCACCATGGCACATGCCTTTTTCCCTTCTCTGGTGAGTCACGCTGCCCGTTCATCCATCCATACATTGCTCACTGACTGTCCTTTCTCTTCCTCTTCTTTTGACTAATTACACTGTATTCATTTATTAAATTTATTACCCAAGTTTTAAAAATTCATAATAACCTTATGCTCCTTGGTATATTTACTACTAACATGCCAGTTTGGTCCCCTGAAAAAAAGTAGTTTTAGTAGCTTCATGTCTAAATCTGGTGTGGAATGCTCAACTAATACACCATTGCAGATAGTTTACTAAAGATTGTAAAGCATGGTTCCAGAACTAAACCTTGTCAACATCTTTACATGTCTTTGGCGTGGTGTAGCCATTCAATTGTGTAAATATAATGTTATTAAGGAAAGAAGTCAAACGTTTTGGGTATTGAGCTTGTTGCCATCAGATGAAACCTGACAAAATCTCTCAAAGAATATTAAGCTTTTGCAATCAATCTTACTTGAATAATTTACCAATAAGTTATTATTCTGATTTAGATGTTTTGAATTTAGCTGATTCTATTTTTTACACATTTTTTTGTTAAAATGACAAATGATGAAAGGTCAGTGTGTTTTGGCAGGAGAACACAAGCTTATTGGACTTTCATATGCATCTTGTGTTTTTTATGAAGAATTTTATACTACATGCAAATTCATACGAGGATCCATCCCATTACAAGGTACATGTAATGGTTTTGCTTTGATGTGTTTTACCTTTCAATTTTCATCCTACACCAAGTTTTAAAGAAGCAGAAACTGTCCCATGAACACACCATAGACAGCTGCCAGTACATGTTAAAGATTTCTTTGACATCATGTGTCACTGTTAACTGCACTTCAATGCAGTTTCAGATTCATAATGATCCTGTGTTTCAGAAACTCTGATGAAGCAGCCCCTGGTTTGCAGTTTATCTGTTTGCAGTTGGTTATGTGATGAACTGAGCTTTCTGCTAAAACAAATATTGCATGTATTGTTTAAAGGAATACACCAACTTTGCAAGCTCCTTGATTGTGTTTGTATTATATCAATAGAACGGCCCTTCTGTGTACCAATAAATGTGATGTTTCAGATGGCATTGCTTTTGAAAAGACACATTTTGGAAAAGGAGAGAATCTCATTTTGAGTGTCTTTAAATTAGTTTGTAATTGAGATCTCCAGATACTTCCATCATAAGGACTTCAGAGGTGAAAAAGCGTGATAAAAGTGTTGCTATGGAGTTAATGGGGATGAGTTTATTCTTATTCAAGTTTAACTTGTTTCCTGAATATTGACCAAGTTATATTGAAAATGCTTGCAATTTCAAAATTAGGTTTGAAATATATAGAAGGTAATCATTTGTGTATAATGAAAGTTGCTTAGTTGTTCCAGTTCTGTTAAAGTAGCCAGCAATTCAGTAGTGATGACAAATATGGGAGATAAAGGGCCCTGCCTCATTCCCCTGATAAAAGGGGGAAGAGCAGGATATTGAGGTACCTATATCATTGTTTTTGGCCCCAAAGAAGAAAGATTAAAAGTCAGTGTTCAACTTGAATTCATGAGACTCAAATCTACAAATCTACAAAAGCCAGAAATCTTGGTGTATTTATGGACTTGGACATCAGCCTACTAATACCTTAAAACATGGATTTGGATTTTGGATTTTCTGTCTAAACAAGATGCAGAAATACTTTTTCATTTGTTAATTTTCAAGAGGCTGGACTATTGTAATGGTGTCTTCGCAGGTCTTAGTAAAAGACAGCTGCTGCTCATCCAGGAGCTGCCAGAGTGCTCACTAACACCAAGAAAGTGGAGCACATCACGCTGGTCCTTAAATCATTGGACCAGCTTCTTGTATGTCAAAGGATAGTTTTTAAAATGGCTTGTCAATAAAGCATTAAATTTCGAGCGTAACTGCATCTCTGATTTGATTGTACATCATTAAGCATCCAGACCCCTCAGGTCATCTGGGACAAGTTTACTCAGTGTTCCCAGATTTAAAACCAAACCAGGTAAAGCAGCTCATACTTTCTATGCTCCTTGCATCTTGGTTGACTCAGTCATGACACCCAAATTAGAATTATAATTTACTCAAAGATCTCAATATGTTTCCCTACCTTAAGTCATGTACTGTATACACTGATCAGAGAGCTTAATGGCAAAAGTTGGTGTATTGTTTTGATCTGCTTTGATATTGAAATGTAAGTGTTTTGAAATTTTACGTTGCTGTCATTGAGAATATCTGTGTTTCTTGGTGTTTGACCCATTCGATCAGAATTTTCAAAAATGCAACAAATAACAATAGTTCAAGTATTTCCTTTAGACTAGGTCACTGCTGTGTGGTTTTTCTGGCTCAGAAGATGATGGCACAATATCAGTTATTATTTTTAGATGGAGATGCAGTGAGCCTTTATCAAACTTTTATCAAATAGTAAGAACATAAATATCCATTTTCTACCCATCACTGTCACAACCACATGGCCCAGCCCTCACATGTCATTCACATGAGTTTGAGCATTGTTATCCACTGTTAAGAAGTTGAAAAGGCTTTTCAATCAAGATGGATTGGTAACTTCTTTCCAACAGTAAAGCAAATCATTAAAACAGAATCATTAGTATTTATCAAAACTACATCAAACCCCTTGGTAAATAATGTTGTGCTTTGTCCTCTTTAAAAAGAAATTGTCTGTTTTTGTATGTATGTATTGATCATATTGCTAAGTGGACTTGATATGTAACTGTATGTCTCTTCTTTCTTTTTCTTAACAAAGGAGCGTGTCCAGGGTGCTGCAGGAAGCCATAGTGAGCAGGAGAAGCCTAGAACCCCCCCGTCCAGCTCCTCCTCCTCCACAGGTTTCACCCTTGGTAGGCCCCAAGCCCCAGACACAGGAAGAGAAGAAGATGGCCCTGACAGCTTAGGTTAGTATCGATGCAAAGTTTGAAAGAAAGCTATACACTGTATCTTCCACATACAGAACTGGAAGAACTGTATGTACATACAGTACTGGAAGTACTGGAAGTACTGTATATAAGAGGTAGAGCTGAGGCACCTGAAAAGATGGACCTCAGTAATGATAAAAGGCTTTGAAGTTTACTTTGAACTTACTATGTTGCAGTTAAAAGATTTTATTTGTTTTAGCATTGACCCCCTAGGATCACCATGAACAATTCACTTAACAAAATAAAGCCCAAGACCAAATGGGCTTTCAACTGATATTCTTCTAAGTTCCAGAAAAAGCCAAACATTTCTTGTGGACTGTTGTCCACCTATCACTTGTACTCTTTTGTACTCTTATTTCTCTCCACTGTAAACTTCATAGAAAAAGTTATCTTTAAAAGCCACTTGGTGTGTTTTTTCCCCATTAGAGGACCATGTGTGCCTGTTGGATTGCATTGCACTGGATCTACAAGAAATGGATATCTTTGCTGCAGAGCGTCTGCCTTGTCAGCCCTGGGAAAGTGGTGGTAAACCTTCCGAAACGTCCGACCTCATCTTTCCTTCGTACTCTGTCCGTCGCACTGGAGACAACCTGTTAAAAGACTGCTGCCGCCTCAAGCTTAAGGTGGAACGCAACCTGGACAAGTATGCCCTGCTTTTTATTATTTTATTGATGGCAAAAGTTATGATCATTTTACAATTAAATCACATTGATGACCATGGCTCAGGCTTCTCTTGTTGATCTTTTTTTTATTGTTATCCTAGTGGTATCTCTGTGTCTAAAGAAAATACACGTTAGAAACATGTAACAATGTATATATTCACTTTATATTGTATAACAGTTAGCAAATAGTGGCCCGTGGACCATAGCTAGCCCTCAAACAGCAACAGTTCTTTCACCCAACCATGAAGCAGCCCACTTTTTATCATGTGTGGCTAAATTGTCAAATGAGTATGAAAGAGCCTCTGTAAAAGTGTGAGTGAAAAACATCATTCTAGCTTGAAGACAGACATTTGCTTTGTCCAATGAGTCCAGTCAAGGGGGGTTTGGCGCTTCTGAACCAATGCTAATTTCTGTGAGAGGGTGCAGGAGGAAATGTATAGGGGAAAAAGAGCATCAACACTGTTTTGAATGATGTAAAAAGGTTTTTAAGGAATTTGCTTTGGTGTTTTGGAGCATAACAATAAACATAAGAAGAAAAGAAATAGAAACAAAGATTAAACAAGCAAGTACTGCAGGTCAGATAGCCTAATAACACAGACATACCACTGGAGCCCACTTTCATACCACATGTGGAGTGTTTATTGACATTATATAGCTTTTTGGCTACTTTTCATTTTTACCACCATTGACTTCAGCATCACACTACTTAGCAGAGTATTTTCTCTAAAAAATGCAGTAGGTATGAATTTGCCCAGTGTTGGTATAAGACCATACTCACGATTCAGACTCATGTTTATGTTCATTTATTTTTATTAGGGAGCTGAGCCATGCAGTACCTGACATGTCCATCCATGGCAACCTGTCGTCAGTCCACTGCTGTCTGGATCTGGACCACTACCAGTTGATCAGAGGGCTACTGGAGAACAACCTGGGAGAGCCTGTTGAAGAATTTCTGCGACCCTACAACCTGCAGGACCCCAGCACCTATGTTAGAAAGCATGCAACTACACATACACTCAACCAACCAGTTTAACAGATTATTGCAGCCAACATTTTTGTAGCAAATTCTATTTCTGTCATGAAATCCACTTGACCTGCCCTTTTTGGCCTGCTCAGTATGATATCCTATATATATTGCTTAGGTTTGATTGTTGATTGATTGTTTTCTGTCAAATTTAGATAGAATATAGATAGATTGAAACTTATTTGCATGGGAATCAAAATGTTCTCAATTGTTTTTTGCCAACATTGTGATATCATACAGCAACATCAGCGATTTTTAAAGTTTTGTTAAAATTAAGCTGCAAAAAGGGGCCCCATATAGACCATGTCAGGTCAAATGGTAACTCCAAACTCATCTGAGTTTCAGTGTAAAAAGTCTATGGCAGCGAAGAGGGCATGAAACTCACCACAATGCTTTGCAGATGCAACAGCGAGGAGAAAGGCAGTCTTACCGGACAGCCATCTGAGATCAGCCTGTTCCAGTGGCTGACCCAGGAGTAGATTTCCTGCATGCCCCTCACCTGCAGCAGAGAAAGCACTGCTGCAATGCATCTGGTGAAGATCCAAGACGTGTGCAAGAGATGGGAGAACCTGAAACTCACATGCTTGTCCCTCAAAGGCAAAATGAAGAAACTGCCTGTGGTGGGGTGCCACTGGCACATGCTAGTATGCGTCCTTCACAGCAATGCTTGTAAACCAGTCTCTATGACACAGCCTGGAGAACATCCATTATGTGAAGCATGTGAAAATGAAAAACATTTGCGAACTGGTTCAGTTGTCTGACATCTACAATCAGGTGAAAGCTGCCATCCCTCTTTGGAACAAGAAAGTAAGCTCAGTTCAATTGCCCCTCAATTGAACAGAATTTTCTACTCAACTTACTTTGTGTATATTCTGTGGTGCTTTTCCTCAGAAACAACATTGGACAAGGTTGACAACATCCAAGGGTCTGAAATCAAGGCCACCCAGTGTCTGAGATGTTTGAAATGGCTGGTGTCCGGACTTTGGAAGTCAGGCCTGACCCCCATGACCTTTGGGTGGCCCGGGAGGTTGGTTGGTGGGACTCCTGTGTTTGGGTGCCCTATCCCTTGGTGTCTGAAAAGCAGGCTGTGGATGGGGCCCACTAGGGGTGCCTCTGTTGTAAAGAAGAGTATCAGACTCTCAAGGGATTACAATTGCCTGCTGTAGGGGGAGGTGTGCTGGTGTGTCCACATGTAGACTAAGGTGTCCAGCGTAGGTCAGCAAACTGTTACCTGAATTTGTTTACCTATACACTATGCACCCAAGGCCTATTGGGCTGCAGGCCCAAACATCTGGCTTGTAATGACAGCATCATGTGACATGTCTTCGTACACTCCTCTAATAAGGGGGACTGGGCAAGCCATACGTGTTGCCAAGCCAAGGTCAAAGTGGACCTCAGTCTTCCAAGTTCTGTGGTCCTGAAGGCAAATACCTTGAGCAAAGCATCACTCAACTCTGCATTGAAGCATCAACTCCACCTTGTAGGACATGGGGGAGAGAGAATTTCCGATATGTCCCGTCCAAGCTGCTATATCATAGCTCTTGGTAAGAGGTCATCAGTGATCCTACACTGCGGGTGAGAGCAACAGGCATCTGGTCTAAGGGCTTGATCTGGAGATACTATCAGAGAAGCAATAGAAGCATTGATTGAAGGCATTTGGTGTACCTCTGTTTGGGAGGTTTGGCAGTGTACGGCACAGATGTTGGAATTCTGAAGGCAGATGGTTGTGAAGAGACCACTGTCCAGATATGGCCATCTGAATGGCTTGCTTAACTGTGGAAAGGTCAGTCTCAACATCCTTCAGGGAATCTGCTCATGACCCGTAAGAACCTGTCACCAAGGGCAGGGGGGGACTCCCTTTCTGGTTCCTCCTGCTCTCCTTCTTCCTTATCAGAGAAGAGATTCGTCCTCTTCATGTCGGTCAGAAACAGAGGGTAAAATAGCTAGGCTATCCCTCTCATTGTAGGTCTGGAGCTGTGGCTCTGAAGCTGCAGTGGCAGCAGCAGTGGGGGGGCTGCCAGGCTGTAAATTAAGAAGGGCTTTAATTTGGGTTAACTCTGAGGCTTACAGAGCACCTGTAGCTCTGTGAGGCCAGCAATGTAGCAATATAGTGAGAAAACACTCAGCTCCAAATCCAATTGTGTTAGTGTCACCACATGAAGATGGCTACTTTCCTGGAAAAGTCCAACGCTTTAGGGTCTTAGTACAGACAAAACACACAGCGGTAATGAGCACTGGCTATGTAGCCTCTGGGGGACAATAAAACATAGCTTCAATTGATAGGTTACAAGGCTACTAGCATACGTGGTAAGCACCGATACTAGGTAATGCTAAGAGCATACACAACCTGCGTGTATAGGCAAGAAGATGAACAGGAGATGACTGCTCGGTGACTGGCCCCTTTATCAGGTTTCTTGTGTCACCCAGGTCACACATGACTGTTGGTATTATGTCTCGACCTCCTGCACATGCAACACAATGCATATCCTGATATTACATACCATCTCTGGTGGTCAGGAAGAATGAAATAAAACTTGTAGTTTTTGATACTGATGTTGTATCTCTCTTCAGACGGTGTTAAGTGGAGATGTCTACACGAACTTGTCATTCCTGGTGGACATGATGAATGTCAGTCTGGAGCTCTTGGACAGCCCCAACCCCACTGACCACAAACATTCATTAGCAAGGTGAGCTTCTCCCATCTTTAAATATTAAAAAAAAAAAACTAAAAACCATTTAGATTAGCATTTCTTTTCAAAATCTATAAATATGCATATGATGCATATGCATATGTGCTGTGGAATGAAAAAATTGTTACGAAAAACCAGAATTTGCTCTGACTTCTTACAGAATACCAGATGCCAGCTTAGTATGGGCATTTCTAATAGTTGAAAATAAAGTCACAAATTCCACAGAAATGATACACATGAAACAAAGCCCTGCACATCAATAAATTCAGGAGGTCATAATGCCAGTACCATGACACACTGTGTTGAGGCACCAAAGATCTCGCAGCCAAAAACTGTATGTTTGAGGGGATGGACTTAGAGTAACTTAACTCTGAAAACCTTAAAATTAGGGTATCAGTGCCCTCTCTGGTTTAAAGTGTTTGTTGTACTTCTAGTTCTTTTTTTAAGAACACTTAATCAAACAGTCATTTTGACTAGAACATGGTCAGAAATTGGACAGTGCATTTTCCCATGGGATTTCTTATAGTTGCACTTTAAGAGAGAAACTAAAATTAGTTGCAACTTTAGAGTACCCAGCTGTTTTGGGCAGATTACCTCCTCTCACATTTATAGCTAGTTCATCTGAAACCTTTTATGGACTTGCAGATTGAACCACTAAGTTGAGACTTGTAAAAAAGACACTTATCTACAGTCAAGTTAAAAAAGATGCTATTTTAATGTTATTTTTGTGTTTCTCTTGCAAAGGTTTGACTTTATGAAATCCAAGCTCCTCTTTGAGACTTTCTCCAATGGATCCAAGTCTGTCAACCTGGTGTCTCACTCGCTGCTGGCATATGACACTCGGTACACTGGGCTGAATAAAAGTACTGGTAGAGCTGATGGGGTAAAATCCAATGTCTTTGACTGCATCCTTCAGCCCTCTAAAACAGGCTCTAACCGTGCGTCACTACAACTGGAACTGCATTACAGGTATCACTGAAGAATTTTCAAGCTTTCATGGAACATTTGCACACATAGGTTGATCTAGAGATTTTAGGTCATTTTAGATAGTAAAGAGTTGGTCAACTAAGCTGTGGTCCACCTTCCTTCAGATCCACACGTGACTCCTCCTGCTTCACGGTGGTCCTCAACAACCTTAGGGTCTTTCTCATCTTTGACTGGCTCCAGCTGGTGCGAGAGTTCCTGCGGACGCCAGGGGAGAAGGTGACAAGTGGTGCTGAGGGTTGTCAGCGATGGCCCAGTAACAGCAGTACCGACTCGGGCACGATCAACACCACCACCACTGGGGCTGTCATGCCAAAGACAGTCAAGAGTGGTGTGGTCACCAAGAGGTCCACAGTGCCGGTCACCCAGGACCGCTGTCTGGAGGTCAAGATCAACGTCACAGGTCAGCATGTTTGGACCTATTTCTATTTCTCATATTTCAAATCTCTTTGAAGCAGGAAATATAGATGATTGACCATATTAACCTGTGTGTGATATGAACTTTAAATGAGCTGTCCCACGTATTTAGCTGGTTTTGTCTTTTAAAATTATATTTTCATCTGGTCTTCAGGCACTGAGTTTGTGGTTGTGGAGGACTCGTCCTGTCTGGATACCAACGCCATCATTCTAAAAGGGACCACTGTCCTCACCTACAAACCCCGTCTGCTAGATAGACCTTTCTCTGGCAGCCTTGCAGGAATAGAGGTGAAATGACATCTCCCACTGCCATAGCACTAGTTTGTGGTCAAATATTACTTCTGAGACTGATACTTTTACCAGTGCTACCGTTAATTAGGACTCTTAATCAAAGAATCCCAGTCTCTTGCTACAACTTGCAACTCCCCCACCCCCCACCTCACCCCACCTTTAATGGCTGAAACAGTATCCAGTGAAGCTCAGTACACATTGGTACTTGTACTTTCTGTATGTAACATGGGATTAGTACACACTGCATTAGTGCACGAGTGCTACTAACTACTGCCAACATTCAGATTATAATTTTATTATCTTTAATTCAGAGGTATCTTGTCACCCCCAGGTTTTCTCGTGTCGGCTTGGCAGTGAGCAGGAGACAGCGCTGTCCATAATTGACCCTGTCAATGTTCAGGTGGAGCTGTGTGGGAGTCCCACATATCAAAGCAGCTCAGGTCTACTCGATGCCTTCAATGTGGAGGACATCCCACCACTTCTCGAAGTAAGGAGTTAGCAATCAACCAAACTAAGATATGCAACATGTGCATGGCATCAACCAGTATATGCTCCTTGTGGTCTGGACCAGTTGCTCAGTGGTCTCTGGTGTGGTCTCCTATCCAAATGGACAGTTTTTTTCTGTGTTGCTAAAATACAACACTATAGCTATATGTATTATAACAAACACATTGCAGAATGAAAGATATGTGGTAAGATATGATGTGGTAAGATTAGATGTGTGTGCCGTCATGTCAACAGCCACTCTCACTCTTCGCTCTGAGATTTATTAGATTGTTATTTTCTTGTTATTTGATTGTTATTGTTCATTATCAACAGCCATAGGTCTTTTACAATTGTTCTACCTGGAGATGATGCACAAGCTCTCACAGAGACCGGTCTGGCTTGTGTACTAGACTGGACAGCAGTCGGCAGTACTGTTGAGATTCATTAGGCTGCATTATAATTCTTTATAATTCTTTATTCATTATCAGTGAGGGTAATTTCAGATGTTGCTTACTGTTTATAGCCCATAGGCCTACTATTTACAAAATCAAGATCTAGTTTGTATTCACAAAATAAAGTTTGTGAAGTGGCTGCGTCTGCAGGTATCCCCCCATCCTACCTGGAGTGCACTTGCTGACAGATGTATCAGCTGACATTGACTTTTTGAGTCTGAACTCTCTTCCTCACTCCAGTCCTCATCACTAAACCTCTCCACCATCAGACTCCCCCTCGCTCAGGTCCTGTAAAAGTGCCAAAACCTTTTGAACACTGTATATTCTTCTTGTTTTTCCTTTCTACACTTCTTTCCCATTCTTTCCAATTTTTTGTTTGGAGGCTAAACCCCCCCCCCCCCCAAAAAAAAAAAAAAAAAAAAATGAAAACAATAGCCAGTGAAAAGAAAATAGATGTGCAAAAACAAACCGCAAAATAGAAACATTGTAATAATTCATAATATGGCCACAGCAGTCAGAACAGAAGCCCTTACTGCCTCCAAATGTTTGACTATTTGTTTTGCCAGATGTGCACAATGTTTCCTCCTGTTGTAAGCCCGACATTCTGCCTGTGTGAAGACCCCATGTCTGGGTTCCTTTTGACAAAGCAAAACTACAGGAAACATTATGCACCTGTTTTCACATGATGGCTAGTGCTCCCCATCACTAACAAACTGGCTCTGACATGTAAATGTTAATTGTCCATGTTCTCTTGAAGGTTCAGTTTCCTGCTCTGGACATTCGTCTGTCATACAACGACATTCAGCTCTTCTTGGCCATTGCCAAATCCATCCCAACTTCCAGCGCTCCACTGCCGTCTGGCTCTGACACCTCCACCACATCCAGCACTGAGCCCACTGCTACACACAAAGATAGCTTCAGGCAAAAGACTGAGGCCCTCATAGGTATGTAAAGCAATGTCAATGTAAGGTTTTGTCTTTTTTTAGTTTATTTGACATTTAATGAAATTTTAGTTTCTTGATGTTTGTTAGTTTTATTCTAGCCTTAGTTAACAAAAAGTTAACTTGGCACTTGTTACAGACACACACACACACACACACACACACACACACAGCTACACACGCTAACTTGTTCCCTTGCTGCTAGAATAAATATCCTACTCTTGTGAATTTTCAGACGGTGTTCCTGAGTTTATTTGATAATTTACTTAACAAGGAACAACTAAATCATTGGATAACGTGACAATATTTCTTTAGCAAACTAAAATTTTAGATGTTTGACTTCCATCATTAATCCTAGAATTTACTAATTCCCTCTCATTTTCAGTTTCATTTCCATGGTCTAAATGATTTTCAGAGGCTTTCCATCCCAAAAAAGGGACCATATGTCAGCTCTACCTCCTGAGCCACAGATATGCAAAAGTTTTAGCACTCATGGGCGAAATACATGTTTTTTTGATTTGTTTTGCACATAAGTTGGGGCACCCTAATGAGTTAATGAAATTCTGAGTGTTTTACAAGTAGAGGGGTCCCTAAACTTTATTAAACAATTACTGTTTATTTGTTTTTGTATTAACTTCAGTTATTAAGTGTATATAAGTTCATCAAATGAAATATAAAAGCTCATTTTTAATGTCTGTTTGCTGCAGGAGTTGGATTTACTTTTAAAAAAATTAACAAAATATGGAATTTGTCCAGGGGTGCTCAAACTTTTGTGTACAACTGTATATCTATGAGAAGTAGAGTTGGGTAAGGAAGTCAGAAAGTATTAAAAGACATGCTAACACATTATTGGCTTTCATAGTCATGAAATGCTTGAAATTGTTCTTATTTGTGTAATCTTATAGTAAGGCCACTGTTTAGTAACAGTGATGACGTACTGTTCTCAGAAAAGTTATTTATGTGGTTGTTTTTTGTCTCCACAGAGGGCCAGCTGACCCGTTTACAGGACCTTGGCTTCAGGAAAGATGACTGCAAAAGAGCCCTGATCCACTGTAAAGGTGAGTGAGACAACTTTAACAATGCTCTCCACACATGCGTGCCGTAGGCTATAGAGCTCACAGCGTCTTGATTATTATTTAATGAAAATCTATATAAAGACAGAATAATGTGTCCCTCAGGTCAACTGGACCAGGCAGCCACATGGCTCCTGGAGAATGCTGAGAACATGGCAGGCCATCCCAGAGCCAGGGGTGACTCTGGCTCCAGCAGCCACTCAGCTCCTCTGTCTGGGGTGGAGGTGAGGGCCGAAAGTGTTTGCATCTGTTTCATCGATGACTGTCTGGACTGTGACATACCGCTGGCTGAGCTGACCTTCTCTAGTAAGTCTCTTTTATGTAAAATATAACTGCATCATCAAACATATGAAAATTGGCAACATTTGTTTTCTTCGCATTCAGATATACATATTTTCTAAAAGAAAATGTTCAGTTAGAACAGTTTCAAGCTTTTGCCTTTGTTACAGTTATAGTGATAGATTGGAAAGTTGAGAGAGAGAGCGAGAGAGAGCACAAGACAGAGAGAGAGAGAGAGAGAGAGAGAGAGAGAGAGAGAGAGAGAGATTCTCACACAGAGCACAGCCTCCATCTGGATCCACAATAGTTTAGTCTTTATTTACTTCAACTCCAGACTTTGATTAGAGGCAGATCTTTATGCCTTACACCCTCTGTTTAATATGTAGAGTTGGTCATAGTAGTATCTAAGTGTGAAGCCTCATTTTTGAATAATATGACAGAAATGCCTTTCGTGCTGTCCAGGATTCAAATTCCACACTGACAGTCAGGGGAGTTAAGTTAAGAGTCCAGTAGGTATCTTGCTTGTTTAACTAAAGCTGCCAAATAGATGTAGTTGAGTAGAAAGTGTAATATTTCCCCCTTTTCCCAACCCCCCTGTAATCTCTGTCACATAGTAATTCAATAATAAATAATAAAAATCCAAAAGTTTCCTTTTTATCATTATTATTATTAATTTTTTGGGGGGATTTCTTGCCTTTATTTGAATGGCTACAGTGAGAGAGACAGGAAAGTCAGAGAGAGAGAGAGGGAGAGAGAGGATGACAGCAAAGGGCCACGACTTGATTGATTGATTGATTGATTGATTGATTGATTGATTGATTGATTGATTGATTGATTGATTGATTATAGTGCCGGCCCACTGTTGCGGTCCAGCCAAGAACAAACAAACAAAAATGTAAACACTTTTTGTATGTCAGTGGAATAAATCCTCCAAAATCAGACTTTAAGGACTGTGAATAAATCAATCAATCAATAAATAAATAATTGCAGATTGGGGAAGTTAAGGATGACCATCTTTTATCTCAGCCTGGGATTGTGATCTGCGGACTGTTTGTTATTGCAGGGCTTTATGTGCTACAGCGCATTGGTTCCACCCAGGAAGGAAACGCCAGCTTCACCTTGTCTGGAGACTACTACAACAGAGAGTTTTCAGGTAAAAAGATTTACTTACAGCATTAGAACATTTCTTTAATGTTTTGATGATATACAGTATTATACACAAGTTGAATGAAATGTCTTAAAATGTGAGTTTTGACATTAGTTTAAATGGTAATGTGTTCAATTAAGATTCAAAGAGTTCCAGATGGACAAGATTTTGGGGAAAGTTCAAGGATACGTGCTGTGATAAGTCAAAACTACATATCAGAGCTTTTGAAAAACGAAAAATGTCCATCTTAAAGTGCTTAGATTTAGAAAAATAAAATAAAAAGTGTAGCTTCAATTTTCCCTTTCCTCCTTTTCTTCTTACTACATTTCACATCTGAACAATCTCAAACATTATTATGTTTAACACATCTTAACTGAACAGTATTAATATCTTTCTTTCCCTCTTATACCCGACTCCCCCACTGTCCACACTTATTTTTCCAACTATGGTCTTGTCTCTCTACTGTGTGTGTCTATCTCACTCACTAATTCGAGTTCAGTAATTCACTGAGTAGCATTATTTGGCCAGTGCCATAAAGGCTAAAAAAGCTGCTCTAGTTAAAATAGAAATGCTGTGTCAAAGTGTAATAAATCTAAATAATTTACAGGTAATAGGTCCAGGTTTGGACAGATAGGCGTCCTGGTCCAGACCGCCTATTAATGACCTCAGTTCTACAGCAAAGTGCAGAGAGAAAATGAGATGATCTATTATACCTATAAGCAAACTGCAATGGATCAAAAAAACAAACAAAACAGAAATGTTGCTTTTTATGTATGACAAACTTACAGGATATAATAGAAGTACACCCCTGTGTAAAATGTCACTAAAATGTTAAATGATTGAAAGTTGTACCATCTTACAATAATTGTATTATTTTTAAGTTGAAGTATTTGCAACAGACAGGTTAGACAGGCTACATTTTTATTTATTTATTTTAGTTTATTTTACCAGGAAGTCCCATTGAGATGAAAAAAAAAATCTCTTTTACAAGAGAAGCCTGGCCAGGATAGCAGCCACACAAACACACCACATCTAAAATACAGCATAAAACACATACCACGTATAGGTCATACATACATTGAAAATACAGTCCTCAAAGAACAACCCCCAAGTGAGTACACTTGTGAGCACTGCAACAGATCACATCTGTGATTTCCAATTAAGACTAACTGCATGAACAAGGTTATAAAAGAACCTGTGAACACTACAGCTCCCTCAGTTTCAGCCTTGGTTGAGTGTAATGCAACTGCTCCACATGAGAAGGAATTACTGAACAATAAGAAACCAGATTGTACAGGAAGAGCCATACTACCAAAAACAGAAGGTGCTGTGGCTGTCTTTGAAAATTTGATTTTTACACAACCTGGCATTGACAAACAGATGGATGAGTGCTTCTGATTTGGCACAAGGATTATCTGTTTTAATAACTAATCAGAGAATGAGGACATTACATGAAGTCAAGCTCTACAGAGAGTGTCCAATAAAAAACATTGCTCTCAGAACAAAGCTGCAGGTTGGTAATCTTTAGGAATAGTGATAACTGATTTATTTGCGTATTCAGCAATATGGATTAGAATAGGAAAGTCTCCCAGGCATTGATGTAAGCCAGTGCAGTGTCCCGAAAGGTTTTTATAACTTACTGCACATCTGTGTCTGTGCGTGTGCCAGGCTGGGAGCCCTTCATCGAACCTTGGCCCTGCTTCCTGTCCTGGCAGCAGCAGGCTGCTGGCCGCCTCCACCCTCCGCGCCTCAAGATGGGGATTCGAGCCAAGCAGAGACTGGATGTTAACATCACTTCTGTCCTGTTGGGTGAGTGAAAACTGGAATGTGCTTCTTTGCTAATAAACAAACCTGAATGGGTTAAACAGTTGATCGAACAGTGCTCAGTCAAATCACTCAGTATATCATTAGTACTGGTTTTTAGTTACAGTGATAAACTTGACTAAACAAGCCAGAAATGTTGAACATGTTTTTATCCCCTTCTTCCAGAACAATACAACACCACCAAGAGCTCCTGGATGGCTGACTACTGTAATGAGGAGGAAGAGAGCCCCCTGTCTTCACCCCCCATATCCTGGATGGGCTCTTCAGTCGACCCACCAAGCTTCGGACAGAGTGAGTGTCGGCTACATACAGTACCACAAATAATAATAATAATAATAATAATAAATATAATAATAAATCACAGGGTAGTGAAGAATTTCTTCACAAAAACACTAAAAATATATTTTGAATGGCCAGATGTGGCATCCTGGATAACACATTTATTTCAGAAAACCAAAAGGAAACAAACAGGCAACTGTTTCAAATATTTAAGTTTAGGTAGTCTCTTATACTTTCTGCTGGTATGTTTCATATTATATTGTTATTGTCTTTATAGTTGAAAAATACCAGCACCAGTTAGAACTAACATGTTAACATGACAACACAATCTTCATGACATTCCCACAGTTAAATCTGATGTGATCGTCGGTCTGTAATTTGTGTATCTATCAACTCAAAGAAACTGAAAGACACTGTTGTTAGCATAAATTATAAATCAGGTGATATTCTATATTTTTCTTCTTTTCTTTATCAAATTCAATGTGCACAGCTTAATCAGCAATTAACGTATCCCACTAACAAGTATAGTGTGTGTAGCCAAGCCTGGTACACAGAAGAAAGAAAAAGAAAAGTCAACTCTTTGGAATCATCTTCATTTACGTATAAATTCAGTCTTCAGATTTGATCAGATCTTCATCTAAAGCATAATTATGAACAAAGACAATCTGTTTTAACTAAAAACACACATCATTGTGTTGTTCTTGTCCATACTGAAAACATCATTCAAACATTCACAGGCTAGCTGGAAAAAGTATGTGAACCCCTCTACTAATGACATCAACAAAAGCTAACTGAAAGTGAGGGTTAGAATCACTTCGATCTTCATCCGTCCACATTCAGACAAACTGTCTATAAATGGAGATGGTGTAGTTCTGTGGCTAATCTCCCCTAGAGGTGGGTGTCCAGCTGAGATGACTCAAGGTGACAAAGAACCTCAGAGTAAGAGCTGAAGGCCTAAAGGAATGATTGCATCTCTGTTTATGGACACCATGTCCCATGTTGTATGTGTGTTATTAGCTTAAGTACATTGTGTCTGTATTTGTGACTCAGATGAATCAGCCTCTCTGTTGCACTGGGTGAGACGTTCCTTCATTATTATGAACACAGACACTGCAATTTATTCTGACTTAGTCCCACAGAGCACCAAATTTGGATTAAAAAAAAAATAGTCCCCAATAAATGCACTATTTTCTCCTGTTTGATAGACATTTAAATTACTGAGCCTTTTTAGAAAATGAAACTTGACATTTGATAAGTGTTTTTAAAATTGTTCATGTTCAGCAGAAATATTTATTTGGCTTGGAGCTGGGAGTCCCACACAGGGTAGAGAAGTTGGAGAGTATTAAAAAAGAGTTAATTTGTTAATTTGGTGTTCATTTTTTCAAGGGATTTGTTGATAACAAGAAAAACATAGAATAGCACATTATATTCATAAAGTGTCTGGTTTAAGATTGGTAGGGCTTTAGTTTGGTTCTTTGGCTGTATGCATTCATCCTTTGAGAAATTTGGTTCATGGGTTACTTTGTTATAAGGAGTTGTTGGTATAACAGGAGGTTTGAGCTGCTTTGCTCCAAGCCTTTATAATGTTTGCTTGATTTTCCATATTAACTAAGAGGTGCTAACAACACAAATAGCATCAATCAAATGAATTAACCACAAAACCTGCAACTCATTAACCAAGTTCTTCTGGTCCTGTAGTAGAAAAACAAAATGAATGGGCTTGTGGTATATTGGTTATAATGCTGAAGATAAGGAAATAGAAGGGAGAGTACTTGAAGTGAAGCATGAGTTGCACTATTCACAAAGATACTGATTTGCAGATAAGTGTTGATTGCTGACACAGAGTACTGAATGAGGATGCTGAACCTCTAACCCTCTTGTGTGTTTCCTCTGCATGTGTCTCTGTTGTGTTGTAAATGTCTCTCTCTGCTGTCAGGTGCTCCTCTTGCTCATCTTAGAACTAGGAGCACAGCCAGCTTGACCTGCCTCGAGCAGCAGATTCACTCCAGAGGTACAGTTCAGTTTAGTCGCCTAGCCAGTCTCCTTCGCCAGCACACTGAGTATCAAAGCTCTCATTCAGTCGTAGAAAGGTCCATCAAAATACGCTCAAATGTTTCCTGCCAACAGAGCAAGTATAAATTACAATTAATATCAGTGTTAGTACCATTGTACAGGGCAGCTCTGTGGCTTAGAAGTCAAGATTCTGGCCATGAATCACAATGTCCCAGGGTCGAGTCTGACTGCGACCTTGTTGCTTGTCATTCTCTCTCCAACATTCCCCCTTGTTTTTATTATATATATAATATTTATTCAAAATTATAACTATACACCACTGTGCAAACATTTTAGGCACTTTAGATAAGGTTCTTGTCCATCACACAATCCCATCAGGGAGGCGTGTGATTGAAACATACAGCCAGAGTCATAAAGAACTGTCTTTAGAGACAAGAAGAGACAGGTGGTCTGGCCCCCACAGAGCCCTGATCTCATTATGAAGTCAGTCTAGGATCACATGAAGAGACAGAAGACATTGAGACAGCCTAAATCACATGGAACAACCTACCTGCCACAAAAGTAAAAAAACTGAATGGGCAGGAATATTGGGTGCTTCTTTAAATTTAGGTTTCGGTTATTTGACAAAACCACGAGCCAGATCCATGATACTCTGTGTAAGACGGAAATGAACACACACATTCTTTTTTCAATCATCATTAAATGTAATACTCTATAGCACCCAAAGTGCTTCACAACAAAGGGAAAAAGAAAAAGAAGCATAAACAAGTGAAAATAAAATGATGTCTCAAGTTAAAGTAGAACACGATTGATTAATGGTTAAACAAAGTTTATAAATTGCTCAGATGCCATTTTACTGAACCTTGGAGCACAGTCTTTTTTTCAATGAATACCATTTAATTTTAGGGGTTTTTTGCTTATACAGTAGGGTCCAAAAATCTGAGACCACTTTCCCATGAATGAGATTCTAAATGTTTTCATAAATATGGGTGACCTATGCTACTGTGTAATCTGTTAGTGACAAACAGGATAAACTTGAATTAGGAATGAGAAAAGTAAAAAATGGGGGATTAAAAAAAAAAACATGGCCTGTAAAATCTGAATAAGCTAAACTATATTCAACTACAGTATATCAAGCAAGAGTAACAAAAATCAAATGAAAATCTGAGCAAAAATAGATATTTAAAAGATTTTTCTCATTTACATTTGTAACTCATTAGTTACATTTATCACTCTGCCCTCATATTGAAATAGCTAAGAACATTAGTCTCACAAAAGCATTTGTTAAGCTGCCTGTCAGGCTTTATTATTACATTCAGTGGTGTTGCAATTTTGAGTAGTAATGACTACAGAGTTTCAAATCAGCCTAGATTTCACTATAATTATAAATACATCTGTCTTGTCTTTCCTCCTCTTCCAGAGCAATTTAAGTTCCTTTCTGCTCTGTAGTTTGCCTGAACAGCATGACTTGTTCATCATTTGTTTTCCACTGCATGGCCAGTTGTTGGGAAGACATTATTGCACAGTGGTTTTCCAAGATTTTTGTAGTGTTGCACATTTTGTTGGATCATAGCAGACTAGTGTGCTTCACAACATCCATAATCTGAGTGCGCAATTATGCAATTTAGTATCTTTGTCTCCATTAGTTTTTATACTACTTTACATACATATATATATATATATATATATACACACACACACACACACACACAATATTCAAGGAATTTAAGCAAAGTTTTACCATCTGCTAAATATAAACAAAAATGGACACAAAGGTTAAACTGTTAGCAGCCTTTTTTCTGTATTGTAAGTTGGCCAAAAAGTTATTTTGCTTGCTGCACAAGAAACTTGAGTCCACATCACGTTAAATCTGAAATAAATTATATTTAAACATTTAATCCAACAAACAGCAGGTTCATCTGTCATGGAATAAAATTGAATAAATAACGTGGTCTAGTGGATGACGCTGAACAAAATGAAATAGTTTGAACTAAATGACTAATTTCTCCAGCTCCTTCACTGCTGCTGCTGTTTTTTTTTTTTTTTTTTTTTTTTTTTTTTTTTTTAAAGGTAAATGTGCTAATGTGCTAGGTAAAAGCCACTATAAGCTTCCTGATTTGTTCAAGTCAAAGCACCTTCAGTTTGGATCCTGGTCTATTTGCTTGTCCGGTTCACTTCATATGTGTCAAACATGTTCTAACTCCACTTTGTAGTGCATGTACTTTTAGTTGTAGTTACACCTACCTTGTGGGGGTTGTAGTCAGAGTGGCAAACCACATGGTACATCCTGTGTGGTTGCACAGAGCATATGGCACAAATGGCTGCCTCCGCTTGGACAGCTTGACATCTGCTGGAAGCAGAAATAAAAACCAAATAGAGAGAAGATGAGTGTGCTTGGCCTTTTTACATTATTCAATACTAAATTCATTAGCATATGTTGGATTCCAAACAGTCATGCGCTTCATTCGTCTTGGGCTGTGCTAAAAAGTAGCCAAAGCACACGTGCTTTGAAAATTCTTTCATGGCAGATTCGCAATTATAACAGTATAACTAGTTATAATTGGCTTGGCCTATAGCTCCTTTTTGTGTTTCACACATGAACATACACTCACTGAGCACTTTCCTCTGAGACTCTGCTGCTCATTTCTGCTGATTCATGCTGCCAATCTCCTGTTCTACCACTTCCCAAAGGTATTCTACTGGATCCAGATCTGGGGGGGGGGGGTCCACGTCAAGGTTGCCGTCAGTCAGGTTGGTCATGATCAAAGTCACTGATATCACATTTTTCCTCATTCTGATGTTGGTGAACATTAACTTAAGCTCCTGACCTGGATCTGCAGGATATAAACTAATTCATATATATATATGTATGTATATATATATATATATATAATATAATATTTTAAGTGCTCAGTGAGTGTACAGTATACTGATCAAATATGTGGCATTGAAAATATTAATACTGAAAGCACACAACAAATGGAAATTTGTAGATCAAAAATGATTTTGCAGTCCCTAAAAGTGAAATGAACACAATGTTGCATTCTATAGCATTTTGCTACAATATGTACAAATGACATGTAATGTTACTGTTTTTACAAAATGCCAGAAAACTAATGTTTAACATACAATATATTATACCACTATATATACCGCAATGAATGAGTAAATTATTTAATTATCTTATTAATAAAAATAAATAAATAAATAAAGAAGCGAACTGCTATTATTAAACAAATATGTCAAGCAAAAC